CCCCCCCCCCCCCCGTTTATATGTTAATTAAGAGAGGCCCTGTCCTGGAATCACATAGTTGTCCTGATTCTTCTTACCACACTTACAGACTGTATTCTGGTGTTAGTTAGTCTGCAATTGCAGTAATACTTTTTTTTTACATTACCTTTTATAAATAAAAATCAACTTGCCATACCATAAGATGGTCTATCTGTACACAAATTAAACAAAGTGAATACACAATACATCGGAATATCTCACCATTTTTACCATAATCTGATGTTCACATTTGCTTCAATCTGTGATAAGTGTCATTTATGAGTTAAATGCACCACACTTTTAAATATTATTTGTTATACTCTGTCTAATGCCAGACGATTTTACTTGTCAAGGGGAGAGCGCTGGTGCTCAATGGGTTAAATATTAATATTATTAATATAAATCAGTTTTATATTGTGAAAACACTGCATTTACTGTATTTATTCAGCAAAGGTTCTTATCCATAAGCCTAGATCTTCATGAGTACAAAATGAAGATCTTAGCAATAAGTTATGGATTATAAATGGTCTGATGGACACAAATACAGTAGTGCTCTTTTTAAATATACAATTCCCAAAGTACTGGTAAGAAAGTAAGTACTGTATTTGTTTTGAAGGCAAGTAATTTTCCTTAACTTTGTTTTTCCAACTTGATAGAACTTCCAAGTTCATCCGGTGAAAGAGGGACATGTAATATCAATTTTTTAAATGTAGAGTTATTAAGAGATCATATTGATATAATAGAGGAAGTTAAAAAGAGTCCAAGCCAGTTACCTCCATTGGATATGAGTAAAATAATGGCACGAACCGAACATAACTTAAAAGAAAGACAGAAGCAGTCTGAAAGAATTGGGATTGGTGTATCTGGTATAGGACAACAGTTGTTTGACCTTGTTTCTAAAACGTAAGTGACAGTCTAACTACAATTTACAGTATGGTGTGTATTATTAGGTGTGCTGACCATTTGTCCTGATTAAGACCTTTGATTGTAATATAAATTGTTACTGTACAATATACAGTGTTAATGATTTTAAAAACCTCAAATTAGTCAAATACCAACCTCGCAAACCAGGCTCTCTATTTCCGCTTCCCTCCCAAACACGCTCCAATTGGGAGGGAAGCGGAAGTAGAGAGCCATGACTTCCGAGGTTGCTTCAAATACTGCCTCACTTCTCAACACACCTTTGGTGTTTCATCTCACCACCAGAAAATCTTCTGCAGTTTGATACATGTACAGTATTACATAAACATAATGTACAATACTGTTCATATAATCAATCATTTGTAACATATTTTCATTACCCTGCTACTGTACTGTACATAATTTGTTCTGCACACGAAGCGTATTCAAACTAATTAGTTGCTGGAGCATTACAGCAAATATAGATTTCACTTTCAGGTCAAAATTTCTATCATTTCCGTCAGCCACAAAAATTAAAATTGATTACACTTTACGGACTACGCAAAGTAATAATAAATTATCGATGAATATGAAGCTTTGCATACATGATTTCCTCGTACTGCATAATGATTAATGGGGATTAATAAGTTCCTGAATTGTCAGTAGTATTTGGAGTAATATTCACTTACATCACCTGAAACTTTGATCGTTCTGTAGCATTTGGCTAAATCTTCCAATCACCTTATTTTAGGCAAAGCTTTCTTAAAAATGGAAAAGATATTCAAATTTAACTACTGTGACGTAGAAAGTTGTGTTAGTTACTATCAAACCAACCAAAATATCTCAAAAACAACCTGAAAGAATGTTATACCATGTTTAAAGTTCTTTCCAATAAAAGTGTATTTGGAATAACGTAATATTCATGTATTATAAAGACATGAATCATTTTTACAAATTATTAATAAAAATATGTTAATTTTTATGAAATTTGATAGGCGTGTTTGAAGAACGAGATAGTTGTAAATGTCCTAGTTTGAGCTAATGATACAATATATTCTTAAGGAATAGGTGTAAAGCATTGAAATGAATATACAGTAACTGCATGGAACGCTACCTCCATAGGAACTATTAGTAGCTTTCCAGTTTCATTCAGTTTAATGGTACAGTATAAGATGCCAAGTGGCAAAATGCACGATTATTTTACAACTTAGCCTATTCGAAAAAGGGTAATTGGCATTGAGCAGCAATTTACAATTCGTACGCCCAATAATATGTCTTGTTTAATGTTTGGTCTTGGACTGTCATACTTTCAAAGTTTTGTGCAGTTGTTTAAAAGGTAGAATTCTTAAAGACATTCTTGGTATTTTATGGAGAAGTGCTAATTGACTTCTCCATTATTGTTTAGCTGTTGTCACTTTATTACTTTATGAACGAAATTTAACTAACTGGTCTTAAATCATTAAAATGTAGATTCCATAACTGTTACTGGGATGATAAAGTTATTCTTGTGAAAGATGCTGATGTTAGAATAGTTCCACCCTACAAGGCAGATAACATTCAAGGAGACCCTAAAGCAATGGATCATATCAAAAAATTAGTGAGTGTTTCTTTTCATGTCCTACGTATTCGTACTATATAAGGAATCAAGGTGTACTGGAATTACTTCAGTGTGTAGGATGTCGTTAACAGCGAAACCTACTTCATTTGAGAGAGGTTCTTACTGTACTTGTTAAATTTTCCATAAAATTGCTGAAATTTAATTGGTTTGAATATTAGGGAACTCGATGCAGATATAATAGACCTCATGTATTATCTATGTTTTTGTCTTGGCTTATGCAAGAAATGGTCGGTTCATCGTCACGTGTGTATTGTATTTTCGCTAGAGCAAACCAATATAGCTATATTTTCATTTAACCATTGTGTAATATCACAACTATAGGTAATTAAACCAACACGCTGCTATTGAGTATTGGTAATTGGTTGTGCGAAAAAACAATACACACTGACCATTTTTTGCATAAACCAAGACAAAAACACAGATAATGAGGTTTATTATGTCTGCATCGAGTTCCCTAACCTTATTCTATTGACTGTGCACATACCCATGGCAAGACAGGGACACTGCAAACACAGTGTTAGTATTGTGTGTTTGCTACCGCTTTTCATGTTTTGCCTTCCCGATGAAACTTTGTTTGACTTGCTTTAAGGTGATATAAAATGTGCAGTTGGTAATGTGTAGATTTCCTTTTCATTTTAGGTTGAAAAAGTTCATGCAGAACAAGAGACGACACTTTGACTGAACGAAACCCCTCAGATACAATCACAGCTTCCTTCCTTACTCTTTACAATATTGTGTTACTTTTCTGAAGATTATGTCTATAGTATGACATTTTTTACACGATGTTGGTACATCACATGCTGCCTAAAAGCAAAAGAAATCTTTTTGATAATCAAAAATATATTTTGGAACAAAAACTTGACAATATTTTAATGGTGTGGTTTTATATTTTTTATCTTTTGGCCACCCCACCAACATTAGTGGAAAGTGTCGGAGAGCATTTTGTCCAGCAAAGTATTTTAAAACCTGTCTTCGAGCTGTGGTTAATGCAGCTAGTTTCGACATCTTTTGTATTAAAATCATAAATGTGATTTTGCTATGTAAAAGAACCTTAAAAAACATTAACATGAAAACAAGAAACATTGCATGTGTAATAAAAAACAAAACAGCACAAAAATGCTTTGAATATTTACGTAACTTGGTTGTCTACGACTAGTGTCTATGTTAGTGATATTAATGATATTAATGCAGTATGACTAATAATAATAATAATAATAATAATAATAATAATAAGCTTCAATCGAACTCACTAAAATTTACAAAACCACGTTACTACGTGAAGCGTTCCTCTTTTGACTTTCTAACTCATTTGGAATTTTCCTCATCAGTTTTGCAAATTTGAAAAACTCTTTGCAAACCTTTGAGGGAATTTGCAATGTTCCTATCGGCTGTTGCAATAGTCCTATATGCAAAAAACTTCATTTTAAATTGTCCCTGCTTTAATTTCCTGACTTCCTGTTCTGTTCTGAGTGACTGAGTGTTGTTCATTGGTGGATATTTTTGTTAGCCAATTGCAACGCACAGAACAGAACAGAACAGAACAGGAAGTTAGGAACTTGTAACAGGAAGTTAAGAATTTGTAACAGGAACTGAGGAAAATTTAATCGGCTTTTAGCAACATCGCAAATTCTCTCAAGGATTTGCAAGGGAGTTTTTTAAATTGTATAGGTAATGAGGAAAATTGCAATAAATTTAGTAACTCGAAAGAGGAACGCTTGACGTAGTTTCCCTGTAAAACAAAAATAGTACACATTACAAACAGGAAAAGGCAAGTTAGATAAGGATTGGCAAGACTAGTATATCCATATGTCTCTCTGATAGGCAATTAGGGTAGATCCATCCCAAAACATGCATGCACACGTTTATTGTTTACCCATAAGTTTAGCGTCCCTATACTTTTTGTCTTGGTGTCCCGTGATAATATTGCAGAGTATTTTATTACTGCTAATTAATATACAGTTAATATAGAGGGACCGGTTGTTCAAAGCTAGATTAAGCGCTACCCCTCCGTTAAAAGTTAACCTGCTGTTTTAGTTTATGTATTTCTGCACGTCTGTTTATTTCAAAAGTTCAGAGAAGAAAACTCCTCTCTAAATAAATATTTCCCAAATTTATAAACAAGCTGTTGGAAGTTTGCTTTGAATTTTAACCCAGCTTTGAACAACTGGCCCCAGGTTAACAACTTAGTGTCTATTAGAACAAAACCAACAGCAACAAAAATACCAACCTCAACAATATAAGAAAAGACAAAATTTAGCATGCATCTTATACAAAACAACAAAAAAAGATTAATTCGTTTAAGACTGGACGTAACTGACTACTAATGTCATAATTAACAAGAACGCACTGAATTGGACATTAACGCTATGGGACGTGGGGCCAACCGGGCCACCACGGACATGAGGCTTGGTGCATATCTCTTGTTTGCTTTTGGTTAAACACAGAGCGTAGTCCATGACATGAAAGATGTAAGATTGTTCCACCACTCCGTGGAAAAGATGAGCAAATGGTCCTGTCGCGTAAATACCTACATTTAACATGGAGTGAGGAGATTAGCATTCAATGAGAATCAGGGACGAAACTTGAGGGGGGTGTGGGGGGGGGGGCGGGTGACCCCCCCCCCCAGTACAAATTATCTGGATTGACAGGGAAAATCATCTGGATTGGCATGGCAATGAAAGATTTTAAATGATAGAATGTACAGTTATTAAGTAGATTCCAGGGCTTCCAGAGGGAATTGAATAGAATTTATAGACCTAAATTTTACAGATATTGGTCAAAAAATAAGGGTTTCATGCATGTTTTAACAGGAAGTTGTCCGAAAAAAAATTTTTGACCCTTAATTTAATTGGTTTATGTCCGGAAAAATCGCCCCCTTTTTAAATGTCCTGAAAAAGTTTTTTCGAACTCCCCCCCGCTCGCCAACATTTTTGGGAGAAATAGTAGAAATAGGGAAAAAAAATTTGCTGCAGGGCATCATCGGCTTTCGCAGGGCAATTCTAGCAGACCCCAATTAAAGGGGCTAGTTTCGCCCCTGATGAGAATTTAAGGTTCCCTCGCTAGCGCTGGCCCGATTTATTTTAGAGACGGATGATCTGTCTGGACGAACATGGGCAAACAAAAGATATAGTTCGTCTGGTTACATTTATGTATATAAGAGAGAATTATCATGCACTAATGGGGTAGACCGATCATCGCGGTCAAGCCGAAGTATTTCATTTTCACTATTTTATAGTTCGTCCACTCAGACCAACTTAAGGTGCATGATCGTCTTGACGGTTGATCCGTCTACGGGGATAAAATACGGCATTAGACGAACTATTATATCAAACATGTTTTGTTCCAGAACCATTGTACAGATCACCTAGTTCGTGTGTCTATAGTTTGTTTTGCGTTTGTGCTAAGACGCGTATATGTATGATGGAAAACGTTACAGTTACTGGATGCCTATACCGCGGCAGAGAATTACTCCAAAATTTCTACTAACGAGCGATCATTAGAAATGAGATTCACATGCAGAAGTAAATATTAAAATATAAAAAAACTGACCAACATCCTCAGCCGAATGAGACTCGTACTCCATCTTAATGAGAGCTTGCTGTAGGAAACCTGTGTCGTTATAATTCGCACCAGTAAGATTGGCTCGAGTTTGGTTTCCAATTAAGCCAGTCGGGCCATCTGCATAGGACAGGGAGAGTGCTGGTTTACCGTCCAGAGGGAGCTTTGATTGAAATCCAAATATAGGATTACCACGTTTCACATTGCCAAATTGAGTGAAGGAATGCGAGTGGTCTGCCGTGACCAGGATTAGAGTTTCATCTGAAATTGAGGTAAAACTATTTATAGACCTTTATAAGCTGGTGTTGTTTGCTTGAGAACTATTGTACCTCAAGTCAAAAGGATACCGAACTGTATTGAAACAATGTTGAAAAAGCTGTCAAAATATTAAGAGCAACGCATTGTTGAAAGCTGTTATTGCGACCAGCGAGTGAGCACCAGCGAGCGAGCTGGGAGCATCCTAATCTCAGATATGGGAGATTTTCGCTGAATTGCAAAAATTCAACAAAAAATTGTGTTCAACACCTTTTTCCGCTGGAATGTGTGTTCAACACCCTTTGCGGGCTCATTTTATCCGTATGTGGAACTCGTGACCATATATGGCGTACCACATGGGAAATTTTGCCTTCGTTGATCGTGATTTTTGGTAAAATTGACTAATAAACAATTTTGCTAAAAATCCAGGGTTCGTCCGCTCGTATTTAAACCCTATTGAGCTGCATATTTGATGTCAGATTTCGTTTTCACAACATGACGTACGACGCTATCCTACCCGAAATTGGCGCGAAAACCAAAAAAAAAAATTATGACGTAAAAAAGTGGGAATCACTATCGGGATTTTTTAGGGAATCTCGGGATATTTTGGGAGCTTACTTGGGATTTTTACAAAATTACAGTTGGTAACGCTGTTCTTTGCATTCTTTGTTCAGTTTTGTGGTTATTAAACAGGAAAAGCCGGTTACGTTTTTAAACTTTTCAGGATAACAATATATATATATATATATTTGTTCATGCAATAAACTTTTTGCATATACCATTGTCTAGCTAGTGTAGTTTTGAAAACTTGTATAGCGCAGTTCGATTAATAGTTGTGTATTAACTTCGTGTGCAAATTGTGCAAAAAACATCGGCAAACGTGCCAAGAAAACCTCGAAAACCTTGTCTAGCTAGTGTAGTTTTGAAAATTTGTTTAGCAGTTCGATTTGCACTTAATAGCAGTTCTACATTGAGTTATTTATTTGTTATCTATGACAGTTTGCCGAGTTACAGTTGCACTGGCTTTAGATTTTAGCTGTTATTTGTTATTTATGACCCTTGTTGTAATCTATTTCGGCCTGACCTTGTTGATGTTCAAAATGATTTTGCATAAAAAAAAATAAGGTTCAACATTACATAATAGAATTGACTGTATTGTTTATACTTGGACAACGCGTTGTACATATATTCAGTGTAGCCTATATACTTTTCAGTATTTTTGCACAAGTGAACATAACAAATCCTACAAATTGATTGGTTAAAATTGACGTATTAAGCTGTTATATTCACCTATAGGTGAATATAACAAAACCGAAATTTTCAAAATGGCGGATAGCCGCTGTGTGGCCATTATACTGATAAGGAAATAACCGAAATTAAAATAAATTCAGTCCCAAAAAACACAAAAATACTAAAACAATTATTCGCCTCAGGTTTGGTGATTATCGGGGATTGAATATTCACCTCGACTTCGTCTCGGCGAATATTCTCCGATAATCACCTCGCCTTCGGTGAATAATTGTTAAATATTATACTTGTTGTGACACATCTAGAAAACGAGAATTTTTATATCGTTATGGAGTGTGGTGCAATATACATTGGTCGCACTTTTAACATGTGGTTACTCCTAGTATATTAAGTAAATTGTTGTCCTTATTGTTTGCTGTTGTTTAATGTGTTATATATTTTTTAATTAAATTGTTTTATAGTGTCCGAAATGATAGGAATACAAAGCCTGTCCAAGCAGATAGCACAAATTAAGATATTCACCAAAACGTTAACCTTGCGAAAAGTGACCTGAGACGAGGGTAGGAAAATTTTGCTATTAGCCATAGTTGAACTGATCTCTTATAAATGGCCTACCAATCCGGCTCAATCTTTGGGTAAGGATTTTACTAGATACGTACTCCTGGAAGTTTGTTATACTTAGGGAGTGGTCATTATTTATGGGGAGGGGGGGGGGTTGGGAAATGGGAGGGGGGTAAACAAAGTTTTACCCTTATAAATAGGGGGGGTCAAAAAAGTTTTAACACAGAAGAAGGTCATAAAAGTTTTTGAACTTAAATACCATGTCTAGAGTTCTTATTTCTATAATCACAAATAGCAAAAAAGAAGACTCTGAAAATGCTATTTCCAACGATCTAGAGACTCAAAATTTTCAAAATTTCCCTGCTCGGCGCCAACCATGGTAGCGCCTCGCGATCGTGGGAGTCGGGCCCACTAAGTTTAACAAGCTTTCTACCCCCTGAGTGACCCAGTTGTGGTATTTACATAAACATACCATGCAAGTACACTTAACTGATCAGATTCGGTCTATCAACGCACAATGTAACGCTGTATATCCAAAAATCTGTTTCAGAAAATGCTCACATTTCAGTTCTAGGGGTGGAAAAATACAAAACATTTTCAGGGGGAGAATACCCCCAGACCCCGCTACTAGTACATACGATACCACACCAAACTTTTTGTCACCAACAACCATCTGTCATCTCTCCACACTCAATATAGTACGGTCCCTTTTTGTAGATGCCCACCCCCAGACAAGTTCTTAAAAAAACCTTGTGTTCAAATCATTTCGCTGTATGAAGACGGGTCATGGGCTAGGGTTATGGTAGGACAAATGTTGCATTGCAAAGTAGTAACGAATACATAATATATATTTTTTAATCATATATGGTTGAATCATATTCACCAGGGTAAAACATCATGAGCTAGATTAAACAGATTGTCCCAATATCTAACTTTACCTGCAACGCACACCCGTTTCATTGCTGTTAATTTTTCAATCCACACTGGGGGGCGGGGTCAGAAAAGTTTCTACTTTTATGAGGGGGGGGGGCACAAAAAGTTTGCCTTCAGTCTGGAGAGGGGGGTCAAAAAAGTTTTCAATCCTTATTTTCCCCATTTCCCCCCCTCCCCATAAATAATGACCACTCCCTTATTTGAGATGCGGCCCTGATAGCGTATATATTTGCCATTCTTTACAAATGTCTACTATATCATCCCTTGCCTTGAGCGTCTCGACTTCTGCTGTCAACCATGCATACTGTCCATTGTTGGTCACAAGTCTTTTCATCTTATAAGCTGTTAATTTCATCACCAACTCACCATGCTTCTGCTTGCCTACCTGACCAAATGTTCTGTTCTGTTGTAGCTCTGTTCTGTTCGGCTGACTGCTGGAGTCTCTATAGTTCTGTTCTGTTCGGCTAACAGCTGCAGTCTTCAAATCAACCTACACCCCCCACCTTTGAGAAGGCTAACCACGTTAAATGTTCGTCAAATCAGGTGATTTACTGCGCCCTGGCCAAATTAACTAACCTGCGTTCGTCATGTCTTGAACTTTCTTCACAGCTTTCGCCATTGAGGCTGTTTCAGATAAAGATAAATGTGCGTTGTTGTCGTGGTGAGCCCAATCAATCAAACCACCTATATAATCCAATAAAATTAAATTTGTATTCATTGAAGTGGACAGTCCGATTTATATAAGATACGGATGATCCGTCTGGACAAATGTGGGCAAACAAAAGGAAGTTTAAATCATAATCGTCTGTCTACATGAAATGCGGCGAACGGACGGATCATGCGCAGAAGATATTAGGCGTAATTGCCCAATTGCAGTGTAGATTGCCCTAGCACACCTAGTCTGTCTGAATACCTTGTATTATACACCACATCAGGTTAATACGATGCATGCATGAGATTAAAGGCCAATTGTAAAATAATGAAAATAATGTACCTTCAGCCATCAGGAAGAATCCTTTGGGATTTTTCCTAAGTATCTCTATGGTTTTCTCAACCATTTCAATGAAATTCGGCTCATGTGATCTATTTTTCTCAGGACGTAAAACTTCGTATTCCATAACACTGGAAGCAAATAATCCTGAATAATGTATAATGAAAAGAAGGTATTAATTGTTATATAATATACCAAAAGAAACATGGTCTCTCTTTCTGAGAAATGGGCACCCAACTTATTTCAATACATCAAAATAATGCCGGAACCGAGTTCCGGTGCACCCCTACATCTGTCCCGGCCAGTTAGGATCAGTGGGAGGGATGAGTCATTCATATGCAAAATTTCACTTGCTGAGCTTGTATCAACCACAATTGCAATGAAATCAGTGAAATAAACAGCCTATAGATAAACATCTCTCATCCACAGATGGCTATACTGTATACTGCTTCCCCGTGCGCTTCTACAATTATAGCCGAATGCCCTACATTTTCTGGGTATACAGCCCGCTTGTAAAACTAAACTCAAACCGTAAAGACCGTTTTTCACTAGCTAGGTCAATTTGAGTTCTCGCGAAACGAGAAACAGATTTTGGAAAGAAGCGGTAGCGCGTGGAAATATAAAAAAAATTTACAAATTAACACAAACACATGAACACAAAATAATGCAAAAAAAGGTTGTCGTATTTGCACCGTGGCTCTCAATTTACTTTAACCGGTAAATGTCTTTTAGAGTTAAAAACAGACTAAAACACTGAAAGAGCTCGAGACCAATTATAACTTGGACGGGGTTCGAACCAGCACTCTTCAAGCTCGCTGCAGACAAGCTCGTAGGCGCCCGCGTTAACAACCAAGACTTCACCAATTGCTCAGTAAAGCCCGTACGAAGCTCAGTAAAAAAGTAGGAACTGTTCCAACTTTTCGCGGCGAATTTTTTCTCTGACCAATCACATTGCCGAAATTTGTTTTTCGCTTCGCAAATTTATTTACAGGAATATTCGTTTGTGAGTTGTCAGTGCTATAGTAATTAATAATAATTTGAGACATTGCATGCATATGAAAGAGAAGAAAGATAGTTACGGAAAGTTATTTTATGTTTTTGTATTGTGTACGGTTGCAAAGTAGCTGAAATGTTTTCGGTTCGCTGAGGCTTGCTGCAAAAAGTATTTTCTATATTACTCAAATATGAAATATCAGCTGTAAAATGACAAGCAGTTTTACTAGATAGCACTGCGACAGCGGCTGCATGTCTAGTTAGTCCAGTCAGACACTTTCTCTTTGACTTTGTTCTGTGCTTTGTTATTATTATTTTTAAAAAAGTAACCATTTAGTGCCCGTTGCATTTCCAAGGTCACAGCGCCAAGGCAGTGTATTACCTCTCTGTAGTATCTCTACATCTTGTTGCCGTATAGTTTCTTTCTGAACTATCTAAAACGATTTCACTTGAAAACACTTCATTTACAGTGAAGTGCTCGATGCCCCTTCAGGGAGGTTAGAGCCCATCCCCCTCAAACATCAACGTGTTTCCTTTTTTAAGGTAGTTCAGACGTGCACAACTGTTGACTGCACCTCCTTGAACGAAAACATGGACGTAGCTGTAAATATATAAGCTGCTGTATATGCATGAACGTAGCTGTAAATATATAACTGAAATATGCCTTAACAACTTTGGTATAAATGGCCGAGAAATGATCGGAAACATAATTTGATTTTTCAAAGTTTGCATGAGTATCTAAATTACAGGTTGCAGGTTTGTTCTGAGGTTTGGAGTTTCACGACCACAGGTTAGGGTTAGGGTTGGGGTTGGATGTGCGTAAGATGCTGGTTAATTTTGATTGGCTAAAGGGCTAAATGTTATCTCTAGTGCGTAATATAAGATCAATTAACATTTATAGCTCAGTGCACTCTCACGATAGAAGTTAAAGTGTATAGTAAACTAGTAAAGTGTAGTTTATTAGCGTCTTCTCATGAAATGGATAAGCTCCCATCTATGATGAGAAACTAAAGAATCAAAGGAAGCCAAATACACGAAGTCACAGACAAATAACACTACAATGATTCATCATACGAATCGTAAGTACAGATTTTCCCGCCATTTAACAGTTTTTCCCGCCAGGTCTCTTAGTACCAGGCTCTTTAGTAATTAATAGCGTTCAGAGCTCGAGGTGAGCTAGGCGCGCGGAGCTCTGGGTGAGCTATAGGCGTGCGGGGATTTTTTCGTGAGGTGCAGAAGTCGGTGTGAAAACTGTCAAGCGACTTATCACAAACAACACCAGTGCCAATGGTGACCTCAACACCAATGCCTTGCAGCGCGCCATTCTTCAAAACAGGAACACAGTCAACCATAGAATAATAGACATAGAATGCGTGCTCCTATATCTTTTCTCAGTAAAACTACGTTTTGTGCAACGCAGTGAGTTAAGTCATGTACAGTTAAGGATTTAACTACGGTAGTTAACGCTAACTACAGTTAATTTACTAATTTAACTACGTTTTTATACAACCGGCCCATCGATTATCTTACCCAAAAGATGGTCAACTTGATCTGGATCAATCTTCTTCAATTCATCTTTATTCCAAACCACAGCAGAATTGTTATATTTCCCTAACCACTCATTGGTTAGATTACGACCATCATTCCGACATTTGGCTAAGTCTTCAAAGGTTTTTCCTTCTGGATCTTTACTCCCGCACGGCAAAAAGCTCCTCCACCCACCACCCAAGACCACGTCGATACCATTGCCATATTGGTACTCAATCAATTGACGAGCTGGAAAGAAAATGAAGATCGATTCTCGTTTGTAATAATGAAAGTATAGTAACGAAAGCAATGAAAAATAGCAAAACCTGTTAAAAAATTAATGCAGTATTTTAAAAGAACTTGCGAAATATCTAAACATTGAAAAGTAAAAAACTATACTTTACTACTTCATGTAATTTATCTTAAAAAGTGAGTGCATTTTAATTCAGTGACTCAACGTTTATAGGGTCCTGAAGGACGGGAAATCAGCATCTAAATCCCATTTCCCAGCCACTTTTTATATAAAATACCAGTCCATGACAGCATGTGTAATTGAAGGGAGATCCCAGGGCAGGTGCTTCATTAACTTCATTTAGATGATGAATTTTAAACGCAATTCTGCGTTTTAATTCCGTTCTTTAGAGCTAATTTTTTCCGAGAAAATTAAGGTAATTTATTGACTCGAAATAACAACACAATGACCTAATTGAGCCGTACGTCGGTTAAATCAGTTTTTCTGTACGTTTTTTAGACAAATTGTCTATCAATAATTGCTCTGGAGCTGTTTTGTATACGATGGCAGAGAAGGGCCATGACTGTAAACACTCGCCGTTTTTTTACCATTACACTAGCTCGTTTTTTTTCTTCAAAATTACACTCGCCATTTTTTTCTTCAGAATTACAGGCGACGTTTTTTCAATGCAATACTACACGCGACGTTTTTTTCAATGCATTATTTGCACGCGACATTTTTTCCAAAAATTACACTCGCCCTTTTTTTAAGTTACGTTGTTAAACTGAGGGTTTCACTTCGGATGAAGATGGGAGCAATCATAAGGTTAGAGTGTTTCATCAAAACAAAAAATGTAAATACAGTACAAAATTTCACTTTTCAGTCGGTTAATTATGAATATATAATGCATTCTTTTCTTTTGTGTTTTCCAACCTATATATAAAAAAAAGCTTGTCGTGTTTTGCCAGGGTCATATAGTTATTTTTGTTATATACATGTGTTTAATACGGCAATATATATGTGAAGAGGTTATTTCGCTGGCCTCAGAGTGACAAAGCGTAACAAAGCAACGGTTTTACTAACACTAACACTAACACTAACCCTATTCCAAACACCAACGTACTCTAACCCTAATCCTTGCCCTAACCCTAACCCTAACCCTAACCTAACCTAACCCTACTCCAAGTTTGTTTCTAATCAATCTTGAAGAAAAATGTTTTGACGAATGTCATTCTGAGGTCAGCGAAATAACTTCTTCCATGTGGTACAGTGATATATATAGCAACGCTGAAATACACAATTAAAGCTTTTGTTTAGTTTGGAAAACACAAAAGTCTTAACCGACTGAAAAGTGAAATTTTGTACTGTATATATTTACAAGATTTTTTGTTTTGATGAAACACTCTAACCTTATGATTGCTCCCATCTTCATCCGAAGTGAATTAAACCCTCAGTTTAACAACGTAACTATAAAAAAAGGGCGGGTGTAATTTTTGGAAAAAACGTCGAGTGCAAATAATGCATTGAAAAACGTCGCGTGTAATTATTGCATTGAAAAAACGTCGCGTGTAATTCTGAAGAAAAAACGGCAAGTGTAATTTTGAAGAAAAAAACGTGTGTAATGGAAAAAAAACGGCGAGTGCATGTTTACAGTCATGGCCCCCTTCTCGGCCATCGTAGTTTTGAAAATTTGGATATTTCAATCAACGTCTTCATTCCCAGTAACCCAAATCCCATTTCCCAGTCCAAAAATAAGCAATTACCAGTTCCCATTTTACCCCTTCAGGCATACCTAACTTTAAGAATTTTTTATCACTGCAGATTTTTGTGCAAAGTTTAGCCGAGCAGAAGGCACGCTCTGAAAATTTCTGAACACACCCATATAATAATGTGTAACCAAAAGACAGGCTACAATTGATATTCAAAGATCCCAAAATCAACATACACTGCATAGCACCCAGGGTCGCCCAGGGAAATTTGGGGGCCCAGGGCAAAAATTAAGTTGTGGCCCCTCGTGATTCCATCTTCTAAAACTATGATTAGTGGGGTTCGGGGGCATTCTCCCCGGGAAAATGATGAAATCTGAGGTCCCAGAAATGGCCAAGTCCTGCATTCTGGAAGTTTGTTGGCAGTTATACCTATATATATATATATATATATATATATATATATATATATATATATATATATATATATATATATATATATATATATATATATATATATATATATATATATATATATATATATGTATATATATATGTACATTTCAATGTAATTCTTTCTTGGGCCCACCTTTAACTGGGGCCCCAGCGCAAATTGTCTGCACACTAAAATTAGGTATGCCTTCAGGACATTCTTTACCAGCTCAAGAGCCTCAAGTACAGGAAATAATTATTGCATGCATCACGAAAACGTCAATTATCGCATGTCCTTACACAAATACACAGCTCCTCCGCAGAGGCGATTGGAATAGGCTTACATGAATCTTACATGAAGTTTCGTGCGCACATGAAGTTTCAGAATCTTACAGAATCTTACATGAAGTTTCGTGCGCGCTTACATGAAGTCTATTCCATTCATGTAAGCCTATTCCAATCGCCTCTGTGGAGGAGAGAGGCTACTTACATATATCCACACACGTTCCCTGCGCGGACTGGTCATTTTCCCAATTACGTGATGGTGTGTGACTGTAGAAAGCTCCAGGCGTTGCGTGAGTCACACGCGTGTTCGTGATAAGTCCCGTAGACATTCCCGCGAGTTCGGCAAACGTTAAAATTGACAGCACTTCATTTCCTTTGGCACTAGCGCAATTCTCAAAAATGGCTTTGCCATTTAAACCTAGGATACCTATACAATGAACATTCCATCTAATTAATTAAACAGCAATGAATCTGCAAACCAATCTTGGACGAACCGCAAGCTAATCGTATACGAACTGCGATTACGCCTTGGAGCATCCACGAGAGCGAGAGCAACGAGAGTGGCCCTGGGGACGAGGATGGCCTTGGAGTAACCTTTAATTGTGACTGATCGAAGCGCAATCAATCCATCACATCACCGCAACTAAACTGCCTTCAATAAACCGCAACGCGTACGAACCACCAAAAAACCGCTACTGAAGTAGCTTGTCATAAGACTGCACGCAGGCTACTACTGAAGCAAAGCAAATTAAATCGCGAGGCCATATGAAGCTACGTAGCGTCATATTTGCCGTGATTATTGTCTGCGCTAAGCCGCTAACTAAGAATGAGTAAACTATTTCCGCGACATTTCGAGCGAAGGCCGTGACGAAAAAGCTAGAGATACGCAAACACGCAAGCACCCGCGTCCTCTCACTAGACTGGTAATAGAGAGTTTACGATCTACGACGCGGCTGACTCAACGACGCGCTTTGGAAACAAAGAAATTTGTCATGCAAGACAAAAACTGTGAATAATACGTGGTCCCAGGGAATACTCAACGCCTTTGTCATTCTCAACACAACGTTAAACGTCGAATTACAGCAGATATTGCATCGCTTTAGCCGAATTCGAACTTAGCAGTTTTGTAAGGTTATTTAAAAAAGTTTCAAATATTTATTACAGTAACCATATTGCTTAGCGCTCATTCTTTGAGCTAAAATTCAGACCGCGTCGTGGACTGTAAACTCTCTATTAATAAGAGTTAGCGGGAAAATATTTACCTTCCCGTGTCTTTACCCCGGTACCAAATGCCGTAGCGGTGCCGGCGGAGTCAGGGACCTGGACATCAGTATTATATGTCTTTGATAATGCTGTATATGGAAATGTTTCCCAACTTAAAACATTTTCTTCTCCACTTTCACCTCTGCTTTGACCATCAAATATTCTCGCTGCTGTCGTCGTACTAATACCCATGCCGTCACCTGGGATATGAAAAGAAATCAAAAGATTCACAAAACAGACTAAAACATCAAACCTCAAATATCCAACGTCAACACATAAAATATCAAACAGGAAACGTCAAAAAACCAAAATCAAAACATAAAATTGAAAATAAAAAATCAAATACGGAATAGCAAACATTAAACGTCACTAAACATCAAATGCGTACTGACAAAACTCGAAATCAAAACTCGAAATCAAAATTCAAAATCAAAATTCCAAATCAACTGTAACTTCGAATCAATAGATAAATGCTCCAAATTCAAAACACAAAATCAACTCAAAACTAAAAAATCAAACTCATCAACAAAAACAAATGTCAAAAATCAAACGTCAAACTCGAAAATCGAAATCAAACGACTCAGATTATCAGACATGAGTATTCTTTTTCCCACTCACGTTCGCCCAGATCAGGCACTAGAGGTCACTAAGGATCGAACTCTTTAGTAAATCATTACGCATGCATGCAATATGAGTCATTTCCAGATTTATTTCCAAGTCAGTGCACTTACCAAGGAAAAGGATAACATTCTTAGCAGGATTTGTGTTAGGTTGTAATCTGATGTTCATCTTGGTCAACTCAACTCCGTCTTTGAAATATTCGTTTTTAACTTGTTTATTGTAAATTTCATCTTCAGCTCCACAATTTGCGCCTGTAATAAATGTAATTGCGTCCATAGGCGTCGAAAGATCGATAAGTGGGGTGGGGGGGACCATATTCATATATTCGTGTTCACAGACCTTAAAAACAATCGATTTCAAAAGAAATTGACAATGCAGAACACGAATATATGAATATGGTTCCCCCCCCTCCCCACTTATCGATCTTTCGACGCCTATGATTGCGTCTGTATCGTACAGCAGATGGTGGTCAACACACGCTGTTATCAGATTCTTTTCGATTTAGGGAGAATCGTCCAGTACTTATATATACCTACCTCTGTGTGGTTCCAGCCATTCTGTAATTATTTTTAAATTAAATTATTCATAAACTGTATTGTGTCTTAAGGCCTAATTCCACGACGAGCGAAATGCGAAAAATTTTCGCGCGAAGACACACTTGTGTGAAAATTTTCTCTCGTAGTGATTTCCACAGCAGAGAAAAAATTCGCCAAAACACAAGCGTTTGATTGGTTTCGCTATTTTGTCATCCAAACACAGGCATTTGATTGACTTCGCTATTTCCACTGATTTCGCAACTGAGTAGAAACGAATTCGGAATTCAACTACCCGGCGAAGAGAAGTATTTCGCAGAGAAACATTCCAAAATCATGTTGCGCATGCGTTCAACCTTTTCGCGCGAAATTTCTCGCATTTCGCTCGTCGTGGAATTAGCTAGGCCTTTAAAATTTCAATGGCAAAACTTCGCAAACATTAAGTATACAATACACGCTTCCGGCAAGTACGACACTTTGGCCGCAGAATCTCGTTTTCATGTATGTGACATTAGTAAGGCCAAGGTCTCAATCACGAAAACGAGGTTTTACAGCCAAGATGTAGACCGCGAGTAGTCCCTCGGAGAAAGGAGGGACCGCCGACAACACATCAAGAAACGAAATACGCCCACTTTTCGCTCTTGTCAAATTGGCTCCTCCTTTGCATAAACATTACCGACAACCAGCTCGAAAGCTTCGGCTCCTCTGGTTGCCGTTCACAATCTTTTTTTAAAGTACTCATTAAAATTTTATAATTTTCTTCTACTTTTGTAATATTACGTGCTTGAGAAAAATCCTGTAAATAGTGAAATAAATTGAATTGAATTACTTATATCAAATTAAATCTATCCAATAGGACCCGTTAATGTCATGTTTATTTACAGGGTGTATAAAAAAAAGGTAATCGAACTTCAGCGCGCTATTGTACCTGAATTACTCATAGATATCTTATATATACTAGATAGCGCATCTCTTTTAGTAAAATTGAAGCCAAGAATATTCCAGCGGGTACCCCCATTTGAATAGATGGCGGCCATGTTGGAGTTTCCCACTCGCTAATAAACGCTCAAAAAACAACAATAACTTTCATCATTTGAATAGTTTGAAAATATATTTGGAATAGGTTTAACTTAATGTTTAAGTTCCCTGTTTAAGAAATAGAAAACATACGAGTCTTCTCATTTCATGAGAATATCCTGAGTCTGCAATCACGGCTTGAATTTTTGAATTACAGAATAATTAGATGCACTATCTAGTGTATATAAGATATCTATGGAATTACTCGGCGTATGAACATTTTTTTTTCATATTCGAAAAGATCAGGCTTTCATTCAGGCTGCATGTTGAATGGCATATTTTTCATGCCAAGTGGAGAAAAAATAAGCAAGTACGATTCCGATAAAAAATGTTAGTCAGAATACCATATTTTTCACCTCTGTACCTGAAACGTTGCGTTACAGTTTAGTAGGACTGGAAACTAAATCGGATTTTGAACGATGTGAATTAAGCGGAAAACACCACGAGTTGTTGATGTGTTTTTAAAATGAAATAAGGACAAATATAAGGACAAAATACGTTGGAAATATTACATTATTTATAGTTTAAAGTGACGGTGAATGGTTGCGGGACAATTGGGTTATTATTATTCAGGATTGTGCAACTTGTAAGTTTATATTGGAATGGAGTATCTCTTATACACACTGGTATTTGTTTATATTGATAACTATATTATTATACGTAATATATGTAATTGATATCTCTTTAATAGGATTTGAATAAAGTTTAACTTTCATACGAATCGGCAAATATCCATACAAGAGAATAAACAAAAGGTTCCTAAACGCTACAGGTTGTTTCACCATTCAAATCAAGGAGAATTATATTATTTATTAAGATTTCAGTCTGTAGAGGAACATATGGTAACAATTGTCAAGCCTAAAAATATATTCATCGTCATTTGTTTATTGGTAATAATGAATGAAGCGAAAAAGGCAAGAACTATTGCCAAATCATCATTTACCCGTAGTGCTAAATCCATCCAACGGCTAATCGAACAAGGACGGCCTGAACCGGAAGTTGTCAAAGCAGGTGGCATATTTGAAACAGCCTATGAGAGAGTACTATCTAAGCATGAAGGATTTGCAATACTTGTAGAAGAAAAGGATTATGAACAGGAAGAAGAATGGATGGAAGATGTGTCAAAAGAATATGATGCTATTTGTATAATGATAAATGATTATAAAATAACCATGGCTCCGAAGAACAATATTACAACCGATAAAGTGGAAAATCCAGCCAGCTCTCAGGATGTCGATGTGGACCCAAACAACACAAATATACCATCTGGATCAGGTATTAATGAGACTGCAGAATCTGTACCACCAGGGGAGACGGAACCCACTGTTACATTGGAATTATCACCTGACAACCAAGCTGCCGCAACTAATTTTCCCACTTATGCTGCACCCTCACCCAGTCCAACTTCCATGAAATTGAGAACAGAGAGAGCACCGCTTCCTAAATTTGATGGAAATGTTCGAAATTATCTGGATTTTCGTAGAGATTTCAAATTTTTGGTGGAAAAGCAATACACAACTCAGGAAGCCCTTTATGTTCTTCGTAGCTGCCTGGACAAAAACAGTGCCGACCTGATAAAATGCAAGGAGGACTACGATGCTGCATGGGAAAAATTAGATCGAGAGTATGGCGACCCGAGAATTGTTTCTGATGTCCTGCTGTCTGACTTGGAGAAAGTAAAGCCAGTGGATGAATTTGACTATGCACACTTTGGTCAGTATCATGCTTTAATTGAGAAGATATTCAGCATGCTGACGAAACTGAATCGACCAGGAGATTTGGATAATACAACAACACTGAGTGCCATGGAGAAAAAATTATCAAGGAATGACCGTCTAAAGTGGGCAGATTACCAAGAAGAAAAGGGGGTAACTCCAAAAATTGAAAACTTTCTAAAATGCATGGAGAAGGAAGTACGAAAGAGAAAGATTGCTGGAGCCGACATTTGTTCCCAGAGAACAATTTCTCGAAGCGCTGACAACAAAGGCTCAGTAAATACCATCACATTGAAAGGTGAGAAGGGTACCAGCACGGGTACCAGCACGGACAAGCTCGATTCAAGGACTGAGAATCCAGGTGAAGTATTAGGTGAGGGCAACCAATCACCACCACAGCCACCACCACCACAACCAACGTTTCAGCATTGTTGGTTATGCAAACAGCCCCACCAGTTGGACACATGGTGAGGAAAGCACATGCATGTTACTTTTGTTTAAAAATTCATCGCAACCCATGTAGAAGAAAGAAAAAGTGCACGTTGTTAAGAGACGGTGAAGCATGCAAGTTCAGTCATCACCCCTTGCTCCATGGAGCGCCATTTGAGCGAATGTCCAATAACAATGTATCTGTCATTGCGGGAGGAGAAAGCCTGCACCCAACCTTGGAAGTCAGTGCAATAAATTCTATATCTAAACAGAAAGCTAAAGCAAATATCCTGTTTGATGGAGGATCTCAATTAACTTTAATCAGAGAACAATTTGCCCAAAACCTAGGATTGCATGGTGAGAGCATTGGCGTCCGTATAACTAAAGTTGGGGGGACCGAAGAGTTGCTGCAAACTAAGATCTACACTCTCCAGATTCGTTCCCTTGATGGTGGCCCGAAATTCGCGTTGAAAGCCGTAGCTATCCCTCTGATAAGTGAAAACGTCAGGGCGGTTCGTATTGAGAAGTATGCAAAGTTGTTCAAGATTGACGCCAAGCGACTTCACCGGGGTTCTGGAGCAGTAGACATCCTCATCGGCATCGACCATGCTCGACTCCACAGTGGCAACACGCTACTCAATGGAAATTTTGCTGTGCGGCAATCCCCTCTTGGGGCGGTAGTTTTTGGAGCCGGTCCCGATGGTTTATGTTCAGTAAACCGCATCCATCTTGTTCGACTTAATGACCCAGTTGGTCTAACTTCTTTCTGGTCCACTGAGCGAATGGGGGTAGAAGTGAACCCTTGCTACACCAAGAGAACACCAGGGGAGAAACTGCTTAGCTCTATCGAGAAGGAAGAGGCGAAGATTATTCGCGACAGTGCTGTAAAGGTCGGACAACAATGGATGATCCCTATACCATGGGCAAAGGATCCAAATGAACTTCCGGACAACTATAGACAAGCTGTGGCTAAATTGGAAAGTATTGAAAAGCGGCTCTTAAAGAACAAGGAAAATGCAAAAATGTATGATGATCAAATATTGGAAATGGAAAAACATGGCCACGCAAAGAAGCTCACGCAAAGGGACATAGAACAACATAATGGTCCAGTGCATTACATCGGCCATCACGCCGTTATCAAACTAGAAAAGAAGTCCACTCCTTGTCGCGTTGTCTTTAATGCTGCCGCGAAATACCATGGTCATGTTCTCAATGAATACATGCTCAAAGGGTCAGATCTCCTCAATGATTTAGTTGGAGTCCTCTTAAGATTTCGGGAAAATTATGTTGCAATCTTGGGGGATGTCTCAAAAATGTACCATCAAGTTCTTGTTGATCCTGTTGTAGATGCACATTCCCATCGGTTCCTCTGGCGAAGTTTTGAAAACAGTTCTCACGTTCGGTGATAAGCCTGCTCCACCCATGGCAAATACAGCAATGGATCTCACAGCTGAGGAGAATGCTGAAAATTACCCAGACGCAGCAACAACCATCAAAGAGTGTCGGTACATGGATGACATTGCCGACTCAGTTACCTCGATTGGTGAAGCTGTTAAACGTACGAATGAGATTGATCACGTTCTCAGTACAGGACACTTCAAGATCAAAGAATGGATTTCTAATGCAGATTTATCAGAAAGTCGTCCCGTGGACCACATTGCAGTGCACAAAGTACCAGTGAGATCGAAAAAAAAAAACACTCCTGAAGGAACCACTATATCAGAAGAGAAAGTCCTGGGAGTGGCCTGGAATCGAGAGTTGGATTTGTTGTCTGTATCAGTAAACAACCCCAAAGTTCTTATGGCCTGTAAAGCTGATGGTGTAGAGTGGACAAGGCCAATTAAACTGACAAAGCGGATGGTGTTGAGCATAATCTCTGGGATATTCGATGTATTTGGATTTGCAGCCCCTTTAATTATTCGTGCCAAGATTGGTATTCAAACTGTGGAAGGGAGGATATGAGTGGGATCAAGATCTACCCCAACAAGTGAAAGACAACTGGTACAAATGGTTTGACGACTTATCAAAGCTTAAAGATGTTACCTTTCAACGATGCTTGACCCCAGAAGATGTGTTGGGAAAGGGCGCCAATCCTAATAATTTTCAGTGATGCTTCAGAAAAGGCATTTGGAGCGGTGGCCTACATAAGGTGGAGATTGATGGATGGTTCCTTTGCAGTTAGGTTCATCATGGCAAAGTCGCGAGTCGCTCCAGTGAAGGAATTAACAATGCCGAAACTTGAACTGCAAGCAGCAGTAATCGCTTGCAGACTCAATCATACTATCCGAAGTGAATGCCGCTTGGAGTTTGAGAAGACAATATTTTTCTGTGATTCCATGATTATTTTGGCTTGGATTCAAAATGAAACACGTTCCTTCAAAGTCTTTGTCTCCGTGCGTGTTGCCGAAATCAAGGCTAAATCAGACCCAGCAGATTGGCGTTATTGTTCAACTGATTTAAATGTTGCAGACGATGTAACCCGAGGTTTGTGTGTCGAAAATCTGTCCGGTCGCTGGAAACACGGAGAAGCCTTTCTTCTTCAGCCAGAAGATCAGTGGCCATCAATGCAACTGAGTCAGGACAATGATGCAAATGAAATGCTTATCGAATGCCGTAAAGTCAATGTTGTTGTTAATTTACCAACCTGCTGTCCCCTGATGCAGTTTACCAAGCGATTCTCCAAGTACAGGCGGGCAGTTCGAGTCCTGGAGGTAATCCGGAGGTTTATCCACAACTGCAAAGCAAGGAAAGTTGCAACTTATCAACGTCTGTCTGGCGCATTGACAGACGCTGAATTGGAGGAAGCAGAAACGGTTCTAGTTAAAGATGCACAGTCAGCGATAAAACCCTTAATCCAGAAGAATGAATTCAGAAATCTGGCACCATTCATTGATGATGATGGTATCATCCGCGTCGGAGGCCGAATTGAGAACGCACCAGTTTCATATGAGACTCGACATCCACCCATTATTCCACGTTGTCACTGGCTATCTACCCTAATCGAAAGACGAGCACACCAGTATGGACATCTCGGCGTAGCGGCAACCGCAGCAAAGACACGGAAAAGATTTTGGATCGTCGGCGTACACCACATTGCGAAGAGTGTGAAATTCAAGTGCGTCTTCTGTCGGCAGAGGGCACAGAGAAACGAAATACAAATGATGGCAAACCTCCCACCATATCGACTTGCACCATTCACACCACCGTTCTTTTATACAGCTATCGACCTGTTTGGTCCTATCAAAGTCAAAGTTGGCCGAAACAAGACCGACAAATATTGGGGTGTCTTGTTTACATGTCTGAACGTCAGAGCTGTTTACATTGACGTTGCAACGGATTACTCGACTCCTGGTATTTTACCTAAATTTACCCGTACTGAGAAGATTCTTCTGCATCCGGAGCTATCCACGCTGTCTGTGGAGTGACCGAGGAAGTCAACTAGTAGGTGCCGAAGCCGAGTTACGGAAAGCCATTGAGGGAAGAGATACAACAGAACTGAAAGATTTCCTACACGAGAAGGGTATGGAATGGAAATTGTTACACCAACTGCCGCTCATCACAACGGATGTGCAGAGTCGCTTATTCGAGTGACCAAAGCAGCGCTCAAGAAATCGATCGGAGATCAAGTTCTCGCTCCTTTGGAGTGTCAAACGGTATTATTCGAAGCGGCAAACTTACTGAACCAACGCCCAATTGGTCGTATTCCTAATGATCCTGCAGACGGCACATACCTCTGCCCGAATGATATCCTGCTTGGCTGAGCATCGATTAACACACCCCAAGGCCCTTTCAGAGAAACGAAAAATCCACGCCATCGATATGAATTTTGTCAGTGGATCGTAGACAATTTTTGGAAAAGATGGTATCAAGATGTTTTTCCATCCATGGTTCCCCGACGGAAGTGGCATACTAAATGTAGAAATGTTCAGGTAGATGATATCGTTGTGGTTGCTGACCTGAATGCCATACGTGGGAAATGGAAGATAGCTCGTGTCACAGAAGTTTACCCAGGTGCAGATGGAAGAATCCGAAATGTAAAGGTCCGTACAGCCACGGGTGAATATTCACGACCTATCACGAAAATTGCTGTCATCCATCCAGTTGAGGGGGACGCCGTGATAAAAGATAACAAACACGGCGCTGGCGAGACCGAGTTGTAACCGTGGCGCGGGAGGGTGAAACGTTGCGTTACAGTTTAGTAGGACTGGAAACTAAATCGGATTTTGAACGATGTGAATTAAGCGGAAAACACCACGAGTTGTTGATGTGTTTTTAAAATGAAATAAGGACAAACATAAGGACAAAATACGTGGGAAATATTACATTATTTATAGTTTAAAGTGACGGTGAATGGTTGCGGGACAATTGGGTTATTATTATTCAGGATTGTGCAACTTGTAAGTTTATATTGGAATGGAGTATCTCTTATACACACTGGTATTTGTTTATATTGATAACTATATTATTATACGTAATATATGTAATTGATATCTCTTTAACAGGATTTGAATAAAGTTTAACTTTCATACGAATCAGCAAATATCCATACAAGAGAATAAACGCTACAGGTTGTTTCAGTAACTCAGGAGGAATTAATCATGTTGATTCAAAATTTTTGGTGAACACTGGTAATAATGATACAAACAAAAATTTCCAGTATAGAGTTGTTTATAATTACTTTACCGTCAAAATGGGAAAGATCCATCGCTTTTGTAATAAAATATGTTGTCAGACGTCCTTGTTTATAAACAGTCGCATGGCTACCATCGTAAAATATCGTGATGTTCCGGTATATTTCGGGAAAATGTCGTGATATTCCGTGATATTCTGCCATATTCCGTGATATTCCGGGTTTTCACAATGCCCTTAGCGAATCAGTCATATTTGAGTGATTTTGCCCTCTGTGTGATTAGGCGTGAAAGCACGAAAGTCACGCGACATTCGTCAGACTAATTCAGAGGAAATTTTGTATTCGAATAGGTTACCATATCTGAATATTGTCAATATTGTTAGCTTGTCGAAATACATTGATGAAATTCGTTTATTGTTAGAAAATCAGACTGTTGATATTCTGGCACTCAATGAAACAAGGCTTCACCCTGATATTCCAAGCGAATTTGTTAATATAGACGGATATGATTGATATAGTTCGCTTGGATAGGGACAGACACGGTGGCGGTGTCCGCTTTTACATGCATTATAGGCCGGGACCATACTCCACAGTATATTTAAATCGTGGTGATTTGTGCCAGAAAATTTAGAGTCAGTATGTTTGGAAATTAACCAGCCTTTATTGTTTCTATATTTTATCGTCAAATTACTATTTACCAGCAACCGTCGAATCTTTGCTTTTAACAATGTCGATAACGAGAATAAGGAAATTTATTTATTAGGAGATCTAAACTGCATGTAGTCTATATTAGATCAGACCAACTCTTCTGCTAAACACTTACATTCTATCATGCAACTTTATCAACTTTTACACAAGTAATCGATAAGGGGTATGACTAATCAACGGAACTGCAGACCACGGAACTGCGGAACTTAATGATGTCGCCTTTTTCTTCTTCTATAAACATTGGTCCTTTAATAATTTAAGCGTTTTTGGTGTCTATTAACATGATTTTATTCCAATTCGGCAGTATATTAGCTTTGACAACAAAAATCATAAGCACGTCACTTCTCAGTATTCTCCAGCGTTCTCACTTGGAAATTAGCCTCTTGTGGAAAAAATTTCAGACTTCGGAAGAACATTTTAAAGTACGTAGAGGCATGGCACTACAGTGTGACCAGATTATATACAATATATTGGTATATTACACTAAGCACGGTGCCCCTGTTTTTCTCAAAAAATGCATATTTCTATTTAATTAATTAAACTTTTTCTATAAGAACAACATATTATACAGCTAGTATTAATACTTCTTTTCTTAAAATAACATGCATTGGTTGAAGTTAAATTCTTAGATTTCACCAGTATATATTTTCATATAAAAATATACTACTAACTACGCCCTCTTTTCTCTTGTGGAATTTGCAATACTTTGCAATTTTCGTTAAGTGACACGTAAAAAAGCATATATACAGCACTTTTCTTCGCATGAAAGTGAGCCTTATATAAATATAAAGTTATTGAGCTACAACAAGAACACCTAGAAGTGACGTGTTTACGATTTTATTGACAAAGCAGATATACTGGAGAAATAGAATATTCTATTAGTCTACTTCCATTCCGCCGCGATAACACGGCCAACACGGTCCTCAAGCTAAGACCCTGCCGAGCCGAGGTCTGAATAATTCTGATATCCTGCGTAAGCCGAATTCAATAATTCTTTTATTATTCATTCTGTAACAAAAACAACTTGCTCTGTTGAAACCGAAACAAAACGAGCAGAGGCAGCAGAAGTCATTGTCAAAACAAACTAATTTTACAAAATTTCCCGCTCTTTTCCGCGGGCACCTATTATTTGTAATACGCGGGCACCTATTATTTGTCATGTTCACATGCAGATACGAGATTTATTTGTCATGTTCATGTCTGCACCGAGATACGGAAAATTATCTGTAGGCTTTCAACCAATAAGAATACGATAAAATAGTACAATGAATAATAATTAGTGCTATTAGTTCGTACAAGAAGTGATAAGGTTCCGCAACGTGCTTCAAAATTCAGTTTGATTATGGTTCTACTGAAATTTGATCTGTCCATATGTACATAGTGTAATTATTTATGGATGCAATGAGCAGTTTGCAGTATCTAAAGTATTTATTTTACAGCTTCTATATACTTGAACGATGTCGTGAGAGTTTTAAGGTTTTCGGATACTAGCTTTTGTCGTCCGCACTTTGTGTACTTTCACTTGTCACAGACTGTTAAAGTAGTTGTATCTGAGGTTTCAGTATAGCCGTTGTGTTAATACTGGATGTGTTCTCCTTGATCGATGTCCTGAGCGTTTTAAGGT